ACTCGTTAATATAATGTGTGAGTTTCTATTGCGGTCTGTAATCAAGGTTGCACAGTGTCCTGTTCGATATTCGATCGAGGCCTGTGGCCGACTTGGTGTTGAGTTTGACGAGGGCCCCCTTTATTTCGGCAATTGAGAATTTTGCATCTAGGACGGTGTTGCTTTCTCCTTTGTAGTCCGGATATACTTGTGGTGGCATTTGGGATATGCAACAGAGTTCTGCGTCCCGTAGAAAATCTTGCTCCATTCCCCTGTAAGCGTGTATGATTTTTAATATGCCTTGTCTCTGTGTAGTCTTGGTGTTGGCAGGATCTATGAGGTACTTAAGTATCTGCCACGTGCGACTAATAGTGAGTTGACTGTCCATCTCCGCGCATTTCTTTTCCGGTTGCTGTTTTTCTGGTTGAGCGCATGCTTTTCTATTTCTTTGTTGAGCTGTGCTAAGCGTTTTCGCAGTCTTCCATTGTGTCTTTGTTGTTTTCAGCGGTGCTGCAGTTGGCTTTGGCTTTTTACATGTGCAGCAACCAAGTGTCTATTCTATCAAGCCCAGCTGTTGACAGCATTGTTTCCGTCACCCGCTTGATGTACAGCTGAAGTTGATCAATCTATTGTTCTATGTTTTTGATGTCCTCAACCTGTTTCTTGTCTCGATTTTTATGTTGTAGTTCCCTATTAGTGAGATCTTCATTTCGTCTCCGGCATTGTGTTCCTGTGGGCCGCCTTCTGCTTCTATAGAGATAATGTAATGGTCACTATCCAAGCCTTGCATAGTGTTTCTCCAAGTCACTTTTAGTGTTAGCACGTAAAAATAAGGTCCGGTGTTGTATCGGTGCTGACGCTGTTGCCCTGCCTATTTGGTGCCACTGGGTCAGTGAACAACTCGACGCTGGCGTGTTGCATCGTTGCCCACAAACGCCTGCCTTTTGAGTGATCGGGTTTGTAACCTCTCGCCATATGCACTGCATTGAAGTCACTCCCAACAAAGAGTTGTTGTCTTTGAGCGATATCGAGTGCTGGGTGGAAGAGACGTGGAAGAGCGGTGTTTGTGGCATTTGGGACTGCTGTAGACGTTGAATACAATGATGTTGTCGGGCGTCTTATGCAGTGGAATTAGCTCTACGAGGATGTTTTCAATACCGTTGACCTCGGTGTCGTGTTCGATAAATGTGAGCTCTCGCTTGACCAGTGTGGCGATGTTAGGATTCTCCGCCTTGCCTGTTATATATAGTAGGTAACATGAAAATTTGACGGGACCGTTTGTCTTTTGCAGTATGATGACGTCTGGGCATTCAGGGATCGTTTTCAGGTATTTTTGTAAGTACATTCGTTTCTTTCGGTACTTCTCCAGTTCCACTGCCTTATTGTGTTTTTGTTTCAAAGAGTGTTGGGCCATGGTTATGTGGGGCTACATGTGTGGCGCCGCTTCGCTATGCGACGTCACCAGAGCGTTGTTGGCAGCTTCTAATCTAAATAATCTGAAATAAATGCTCTCCAAGCTCTGCTGAATCGTACGCATGATAGCCGCAGTGATACTTTCCTCGAAATGGCTCGAGCGAGCCTCAAGTGCTTTAAGTCGGGCACCGCCTCTTGCTGCTCACATACGCTTCGGACGTACTGCCTTTGTAAGGGAGTTAGCTGGTCTGCCTTTAGTGTCAGGGCCTTTGACCTCATCCTCCTTTATTAGTTCTTGTGATCCTGCATCGCCTGTTAACCAGTCTCCCTGTTAGCGGCAGACAGGAGCTTTTGTATGATTTCGTCTTTTGCGGGAATCCGTGCCCTCATGCATTTCATTTGCTTTAGCATGGTTTGTATCGTTTGTGTTAACTGAGCTGTCTTCGTCACCGTCTTAGTGTGTGTTTTAACACCAACCTTCACGTTTGTTGCACGTTCCCTTTGACCGGATCTGCAAAGCGCACCGAATCAGTAGTCTTGGCATCCCTCGTTAGGGTACGTCCAGATGTGTGGCTGCAAACCCGACGCTGCTGCTGCTTTCGGGGTCCCGGTGTGTAGCTATGAGATGGGGAGTGGCTTTGACTGGGGGTCTTGGATCTTGTGCAGGGCTTGACGGCGGGATCGGTGGTGGCAATGGCCTTTCTGTCCTTGGTGGCTCTGGGTTGTTCCCATTGCCTCTTCGTCAAAATGTTGGGCGTCTTGTACTTTATGCGGTAGTTACGGTCTGCCGTAATGTGTGCTCCCCCGCACAGCTTGCATTGGGGGGAACACTGGTGGTTGCGGCCTGAGTAATGGGTATCACAATCACGACACACTTTGACCTTGGGATTCAGGCACAGGTCCATGCGTTCACCAATTCTCTGGCAGCAGTGAGACAGGTCGATTTGCTTGCAATACAGGGTGCAGCATAGGAGAGCGCTGCCGTACCTGACGTAAGTAGGCACTCGCGGTCCTTCAAACACCACAATGATGGTCGTGGTATTACAGAGCCATTTGGCTGCCAGGTCTTGAGGGTTGCGTGCGAGAACGATGTTGGTGTGAATGAACTTGGTATTCTTTTCCAATGGGATGCCCTTGATTTTTCCTTTCACTGTGTTGTCGGGGGCCGTCTCGTACGCATTAACCTCGTGGCGACGGCCGTCGATGGTGATGACTTGAAACTGTCTAGTTATCAGTGTGAAAGGCATAGAGTGTGCTCACGACGATGTTTTGGTAGTTGTTTGGAGCACATCGTGTCCTCCCCTGCTTCATGCACCGGTGCGTCGGCCATGCGCTAAATAGCCGATGCGAGGCACACGGTTCCACTGGTGGCCACTTCGAGGCTTCCTCGTGGTCTTATCACAATCTTGAAACCGCTTAGTGTGAGTAGTGGCATTTTGCTGCTCTTGATGACTAGCTGCTTGATCTTGCACTGCTGTTGACATGAATGTTGTCGGTTGCAGTCCCCTCCCTCTTCGGTGCAGGAGGGGGCTCCGTTCTGTGTGTTACTCTGCACGTTCACATTGTCAACTTGGGTCTTGGACCCGATGGTGCATCAATCCGTTCCCTCCAGGAAGGTACTTTTTGGGAGAGATATAACTCCTTGTTCACTTGGACTTTGACGATTGATGGGCGAAGAGAGCGCCCGTGTCAGAGGAAACGCTCAGCACGTCTCCTTAGATGCCGTTGCGCATCTCCAAGTATTCCTCGATGATTCATCAAGTTCGGATTTGCGACAGCATATTCCACAAAAGTACCTGTTTGGTGATGCCCTTGTTCATTTGGTCTACAGTTTTGGCACTCCTCACGAGGGACATGAAGGCTGTAACAGAAGCATAGCCTTGGCACGAGATTAAGTATGGTGGCCTGGCATCTCCAATGACATCACCTCTCTAGTAGTCAACTGCGAGACATGCACTGTCACACGAGTTTAATTTGACTTTGCTTACCCACTTGTACCAACACTTCTCCCGGATCGTCCATGGTAGCTTCTCGGCATGGACCTGTTTCACTACGTTGGGCAAACTTTCTTCATGGTGGTTGATTTTTGCTCAAGCTTTCCAAAAGTGATAACCTTGAGGAGCAGAACCAGGCAAGTTGTTGTATATGTTCTGAAGAGCATGTTCTCCTGCCATGGAATCCCGGCTGCGGCGGCTGCATTTCCGATGGAGGCGGAAATGTTGTAGGCCCGTGTACTCAGATTTGGGTGCACGTTAAAGAACCCCAGGTGGTCGAAATTTCCGGAGCCCTTCACTACGGCGTCTCTCATAATCATATAGTGGTTTTGGGACGTTAAACATCACATATCTATCTATCTAGGGAATTCGGTCTGATAGTAGCCCATGATTCTCGTCACAAGATCTCACATTCTTTGCTTCCTCGTATGGCTTTGTCTATACGACAAGCAACCTTCGCTACTCCCAGTGGAAAGGGAAAGTGGAGAAAATAGTCAGGATGGTCAAAAGCCTTTTCGCCCAGGCAAAAGACCCTCGCATGGCTTTCCTGCGCTACAGGAATACCCCAGGCCTTAACGTTTTTAGCCAGGCTCAGCTCATGATGCACCATCAGCTAAGGACCAAAGTCCTCAAGAAGGAAGAATTGCTGCATCCAAACGGGCCCCTGAAAGACGCAGTAGTGTCGAGGAACGCATCCTACAAAAGAAAGCAGGAAGAGAGCTACAATCGGGGTCATTGGATTAGACTTCAAATGCAGCTTCTTGTAGGACAAGTCTGCGTACCGCCAGAAAACATAAAGGGAACAGTGTTAAGCTCAGCACAGAGACCCCGGAGCTACATAATAGGGACAGGACAAGGCAGTATCTTGCAGCACAATAGGTGTCACCTTGTCCCGTTTGTTCCAGCATCACTGCCACCACAAGCTTCGTCAGAAGAAACAGAGCCACCGCCGCAAGTAGCTCGCCCTTTTCAGGGTCCTCCAAGTACCATCGTGACGACGGGCGCCTCGGGACAAGCTGGTGATCGTGTTAGTGGCGGTGATGGGGGATGAAAGTGATAGTGGCGTTGGGGGTCGTGATGGTTTTGTGTGCACGCGCAGTCGTCGACGCATTGTCCCATCGGAATGTCTGAATTTTATGACTGCCGAACGTGTGAAAAGGGGGGGAGACGTAGAGGTTGCTACTGTTAGTGAATGGCACTCCCTCCTAGCTGTAATGCATTCATGCGAAGCAGAATAAAGTGAGTTGATGTTTGGGTTTATCGTCTACTGGTTGTATTGCTACAAACTCTTAGACGCCCATGCTATGCCGGTGGTACCGCGTCCGCCTAACGGCTAACACTGCACAAGTGTGGTACATATTAGATATAGAATTGAACTGTATGCAGAGTTACTGTTGCATCTGAATTCAAATGTTCATCTAGCATTAGTTAAAAATGTAAATAGTAGAGGAGGCATTTTTAACACAGTTTAAACTTGTTCCTCTTTCTCTCCCAGTGCCTCTAACACTGCTACAACATTCGTGCAAGCTACCTACAGGGTCCCATCACTCTCTGTAGGAGCTGTCTTCTTTGTGTATCTTTGTATGCGAAGTGACTGTGGCTGTTTGCACACAGGGTCCGTCAAGTCCAATCATCACCCATTCACTGCACCTCACCCAGATGATGCCCATATGCTGCATACGGAACCACTAAAGGTGAGCTGGACGTCCTCCTACTGCGGCCTCGGTAGCTACCCTTAAGCTCAGGCTGTTATCATTTGCAAAAACATGAATGCATAAAGTGTGAATGCCAAAAGTGCAACAAGAAACACCCTGAAATGTAAACATAGGGACTTTGAACTGTCTGTGCCATGAGTATAAACAGAAATCAATGGTAGAGTGGTTGTGGCATACCGTGAAATTTCGAGCGAGCATCCCTCTTCCTTCTTCGAAAAATTTAAAATAGGCTGTCTCTCTCTTCTCCAAAAATACCACTGTTTTAACCTATTTTTATTCACCCAGTGAACGTAAATAAAAACAGTGAATGCATGCATATTCAGTGAAGCATTTAATTAGAAGCACAATGTTGATTCTTTATTCATAGTGGCTTTTCAACTGCCATCTTCAACTTTGATTCTATGACTGAGTGAGTGCCCCCCTCCACATCTTGTCGAATTATCCTTCACCATGCAGATGGTGGGAGAGGCTTGTCTGAGATTTTACAGTAGTGTATGTGGACACTTTTTGGCACTGTCACGTTATTCACTTGTTAATTGCAGGCACGTTCAACAGATGTCGGTTTTGTTCATAGGGACACCAACGGAGTTGCCAGTTATGCTTATAAGAGGCATGTCTGGGCTTTTTTTGTTAAAGATGATAGTCTTTCTTGGGGACCTTTGACTTAAAAATTTTGGTCTGTCTGTCTGTTTGTGTCTGTACATTTGTCTGTTCACGCTTAACGGTGCTGGATACTCTGAATGAACCAGCCGATACCCTAAAGGACCAACCCCATCCGCAGCGTCCACCAATGTTGCTCAAGGTTTAGCGTTCATACTTGTGTGATTGTCAATTAAAAAGCAATTATTGCGTATATCTGAGGCACCATATCAGCACGTATATATTCTGTATGTGCGCCTTTTACTAGAAAAGGCATACATAGGTTGTTCTAAGGACCATAGGGCTTATGGCGCTGTGCTGACGATGCAATGCTAGCACGAAAAGGCGAGTGTTTCCAACACTTTCCTAAGACGACACGGTGGTGGGACCTACCCGTCGCCTTGAGTTTTACACCTTGTCACCTCTGAGATGTCAGAGAGCCACGTTCTTCGTTTTCTAAGAAAACTGCCAGATAGCGCTCATGTCTCACGTGTGACGTGACTTGATGCGCTCGTTCGCCTCTGCTGCACGCTCGAGGCAATCTAACGCAGCACTTCCAGAATACCATTCACCGATTTCTTGCACAGAACATCAAATAAATGTTTTGTTCACTCTCTCCACACGCAAGGCTATCGTCTTTCGGCGGCATTTGCAGATTAACATCAGATACAAGGCCAATTTTTTTTCGCAGAGTCGCATGTAAAATTTTTCAGTTGCATGCAGTAGTGTTATTTGGGGTTACAGTAAAAGCTCGTTAATTTGACACCCGTTAATTCGGAAATTCGTATAATTCGGACGGCTCTATTGGTCCCGGCCAAAGTGCATGTTAATCTATGGGACCAAACCTTCATTATTTCGTCGGAATTCCGCTCCGCACCGCTTAATTCAGACAAATGCTGACGGCTGCTGCTACACAAAAGTGTGATAAAGCAGCGCTGGCACCACTGGAGTGAAACCGAAACCTGAGTGGCATCGCCATCATCATCAACTAGTGGGGGCGATCGCAGCGTCACCGAACGTCGGCGTCTTCTTTCTTCTCCACTCAGCGCCTCCGACGCCATTTTCCCTTGTGTTGTCGTGTCGGAACCATCTCTTCTTGCGGAGTTTTGTTTTTCTTCCATTGTGACCGTATTTGCATGCCACCACCATCGTGCGCTACAGTGATGGCAACGCCAGAAAAACGGCAGAACTACGACGTGAAGAACTTGGCGACTAAAGTGGAAATTTTGGAAGCACTGAAGAACGTCGAATCGCGACAGCAGGTTATGACCAAGTACAACGTGAAGGGCAGCACGTTGGGAACGTACATGAAAAATGAACAACAGATTCGACAAGCCTTCGAAAGCGAAAAGTTTCATGCCTCTAGAATGCGGTTGCGAACCACAGCTCATCCCCAGCTCGAAGAAGCTTTGCTCCGGTGGATTACTGACTGTCGCAACGCGCATCTGCCTTTGAGCGGACCTCTCATTATGGCGCAAGGTGAGAAGTATGCTGCAATGATGAACATTGAATCGTTCAAAGCGTCAGAAGGGGGGTTTGCGAGGTTTCGAGAGAGACGCGAACTTGTCTTCAGGAGTGTGTGCGACGAAAAGGCCAGTGTTGACGAAAGCGTGACCACCAAGTGGAGAAATGTGAAGCTGCTGGAGCACATCGCCCCATATGAACCACGTGACGTGTTCAATGCAGATGAAACTGCTCTATTTTTCAGAGCTCTGCCCGACAAGACGGTGACTTTCAAAGGGGACGCATGCATTGGTGGCAAGAAGTGCAAGCAAAGGATAACTGTGCTTCTTGCCGCCAATATGACTGGCACGGAGCGCTTGCCACTACTTGTGGCCGGGAAGGCGCTTAAGCCACGTTGTTTTAAGAACGTCAAAAGCCTTCCATTTGAGTACACAGCGAGCAGGAAGGCATGGATGACATCGGACATTTTTCGCAGCTGGCTGCAGCAGTTGGACCGGCACTTCACGTCGAAGGACCGCAAGATAGTTATGGTTGTTGACAACTGCAGTGCCCATAACTGTACAGTCGAACTGAAGAGCATCAGAGTAGTTTTTTTGCCGCCCAACACTACGTCTCCTTTTTAGCCTATGGACCAGGGTATCATTCACTACGTGAAGTCGAAGTACCGCCAGCACCTGCTAGAGCGAATGATCCTATGCTCAGAAGCTGGAAAGTTGTATCAAGTGGACTTGCTCGGTGCAGTGCACATCATCGCCCACGTGTGGAAAAAGACTCCGCCGCAAGTCATCGCCAACTGTTTTCGGCGCAGCGGTTTTGTGAGGCCCGAGCATGCAGCAGTAGCTGACGATGGCATCGAGGAGGTGTCAGCCGAGTCCACCGACGATGACTGCCCGACTTTCGATGCTGTCCTTCCAACAGATGTGACCTTTCAGGACTACATCGCGATTGATCATGGTGTTGCCACGAGTGGTCTCCTGACCGATCAAGAGATTATTAATGATGTCACAGGAACTAGTGCCACCTAGACGGTATTATAGCCATCGGTAGCCAAGTCAACACCTGGTCGTCATTTTGATATTTGTGGCGAGTGTTGAGGCGAGCCGTTTGTCATTTCGAGTCTCGCTTTGAGAGGTGTGCGTCTGGCATAGTTCAATGGTGCAAAACAGGTGGTGGCCGCTTATAAAAGGAAAGTTGGCCCAGTTGCGGAGTCATCGTCCAACGTTTAAGCTGGGTGGGACTTCAGAGCAGATGAAAAAAATATGCGCTACATGAGAGGCCGCAGCATGGGACAACCCTGAAAGTTTTATTGTGCGCTCTTTTGAGAAGCGCGGCATTTCCAATGCGCTTGATGACACCGAGGATTGCGCACTATTTGAAGATAGCGACAAAAAAGTCAGCAATGAGGGAAGCAGTGACAACGACTCAGAATGAGCGCGCCATCGGACTAGAAGCAGCGTGAAAAATACGACGTCAAAGAAACATGCACAACAGGACTAGAGGCTGCTTGTGTCTCAAGCTATTTGCATTAGCAACCAACTGCTTTGTTTCATCTTCATGTTTAATAAATGTTTTTTGTCTTTGTGAATGCTATCCTCGTTGTTCGTTCAGCCTACATTCGAGGTAAGTTTTTTTCCTGGCTTTGGACTTTAGGGGGTTGACTTAGAATTGGTGTCGGCCTATATTTGAGTAAATACGATAAGTCTTTCTCAGGGTCGTGCCCAAGCACATGCGCCATTGGCCGCTCTGTGAGTGACGTCACCCCGTCGCAGTAATGGTGCCAAGTACGAGCGCATGAGTTTCTACTGAAGGCTTACTCATGGGTAACCAATGAATCCTATGAACTCCCGAACAGTGGGCAACTTTACAAGAAGGTTGACAGCAGAAACGTGAGAAAGCTCGCATGAGCCGGGCCGATGCTGCAGTCTGGGCACAAAAACAGGCCTGGGAGGCAGAGTGCTGGCAGCAACTGTGTACTGATGATCCACCATCGTTCCAAGCCGTGCTGAATCACAAACAGGAATGCAAGTGCCAGTGGCAGGTGGATCTTGCAAACAATGCCACCGAGTTAGCTCGCAATGTCAAACGCTTGCAAAAACGGCACACCAAACAAGCGACCTTGCGGGTACAGCAGTGTCAATGTGATGATTGTGATAGCGTGTTCACTGGGACGAATGCCTGCTTTCGCCGAGAGTTTCTCCGGTGGCACATTGTCTTTGGCTGCGATGGTTGTGTGCGGCATGAGAAGTGAACACTGTGGTAAACCCAAGCCAAATGTGTGTCTAACCTCATTAAGAAGCATCAACATGCAATCAATAATTGTGAACAGCTTCAATAAAGCATTACGTTGAATCCTCTGCTAAACACTGGGGATGAACGTGTCAGCTATTGTTTGTTAACCATTTGTACGGAGTGCTTGAGTGGCGATTTTTATCTTATGATGTTACCCAAAAGTTTACAAACGAAACCGAAATGGCATTGGTAACAGCCTCTTATATAAGAGTAAGACACAGCATCATTGCCATCCTGAGGGGTAATTCTAGACGCCTAAAGCACCACAGGAAGAAATAATCACAGAAAAGACGCTCTTTCTCTGTGATTATTTCTTCCTGTGGTGCTCTAGGCGTCTAGTATTAACCCACAGTATGACGAACCAACTAGCCCAACAACAAGTACTTCTAAGTTTCATTGCCATCACATAATGGCAACATAGCCCCAGTTTTCGTAGGATGCCTTCACGTGTGTGATTTAGCTGTGTTCATTATAGCTTGTTGCCTTGCGAAGTGTGGCTGCTGATGTCTCGCTCGTATGAGCATTCACGTCAAGCAAAAGTTATTTTTCACGGTGGAAATTTAGTACGTCTCCCAACTGTCAAGTAG